TCGTCTTACTCATGGATATCTCCATGAGAGGCGTCTTGCTCCTCTCTGTGAGAATTGCCAAGCTCTATTATCAGTCAGCCACATTCTGTTGGGCTGCCCACTTTATCAACGAGCACGCAGAATTTACCTCTGTCGTCGTCTTCGACCCGCTGCTCTCTCTCTACCTTCCCTTCTCGCTGATGGACCCACCTTTCATCCGGACTCTCTCATTGACTTTTTGACAACGACTGACTGACTTCACAAATTCTGATACTTTCAGCCCTTTCTACTTCAATCTCTTGCTACCCTCTATCCCCGTACTATCCCCTGCCCCGCTGTTTTCTGTAACCTGCTGATCATCCCCCCTCCCTTCTGCCATCCAATTCCCTTGCTTCCTTCCCTACCCTGCAGCGCTGTATAGCCCTTGTGGCTTAGCGCTTCTTTTTTGATTATAATAATAATAATAATAATATATACATGTCTCTCGTTTCTTTCCTCCCAGTCTGCCCGGGAGTTAGAGCCCTTAGACTTTTCGTCTAGCAGAGAAGTCTTATAATGTGCCTTTTACACTTCTGGAATTAGTCAACAGTTTCTGCTTGCCAATGATCGGCAGCTGGGCCTGATGGCACTCATATTTGTATGGTCCAGCATTTACATCCGTCAGCCCTTTGTCTTCTTTCGACTATTTAATCATATTTGGTCGCAAGGAGTTCTTCCCCAGCTGTGGAAATCTGCCATTGTTCTACCTTTTCGTAAACCAGGTGCTTCGGTACATGCCTCCCACTATTGCCCCATTGCTCTTATCAGTGCAGTTTGCAAGGTGATGGAATGTCTGGTAAATAGACGTTTGATGCGGTATTTAGAGACACACGATAATCTCTCCATTAGTCAATATGGTTTTCGTAAGCGCTGTTCTACTATTGACCTCTTAATCCATTTAGATACGCATGTTCGTAATGCCTTGCAGTTATCGCCATCTTATTTGATCTTGAGAAGGCATATGACAACTTGGAGATGTAACATCTTGGCCCAAATTTACTCCTTGGCCTCCGAGGCAATCCGCCATTTTTTCTTCAGAATTTATCCGAAACATTTCTGTGTTCGGGTTAACATGCTTTCCCCGGACTTTGTCCAAGATGAAGGTGTCCCCCAGGGATGTATCCTTAGCACCACACTTTCTCCTTGCCATAAATAATGTGGAATATGTTCCTCCATCTAATATTTGGTCATCACTGTTGATGACTGCTGTAGCTTGTACAGGAGCTGACTGTCGCCTCATTGCAGTTTCTCTCTAGGATGCTGTCAACCACTACTCATGGGTTTAAATTTTCTAGTACTAAAACTCCAAATTATCACTAGACGTTTTATCGTCCCTGATAATCCATTGTACCTGTATGGCTCGCGTATCCCTGAACGTGATTCTGTCAGGGTTCTCGGCCTTCTGTTTGACTGTTATCCTGGAAACCTCATTTTACCTCTTCGAAGGCAACTTGTCATAGCCGGCTGAACCTACCTTAAAATTCCCTTCTCATCTTTAGAGGGGGAGGGGTCAGATCGTCGAACTCTCCTTGGACTGCATTCAGCTCTAATTTTATCGAAACCAGATTATGGTTACCAGGTATATTCAGCAGCCTCTCCTGCAACTCTTTCTAAACTTGATCTCGTCCATCACCAGGGATTGCATTTATGCCTAGCTTGTCGCTCTTCACCTGTTGAAAGCCTATATGCAAAGGCGAATATTCTATCCTTGAACGATCACCGTGATGCTCATTGCCTCTATTTTGTTCACTCGTGACGTTTGCAATTCTTCCTTATATAGGATAGATATAGAGGTTCATTGTTTGTTCGTTGCCCGTTTACTCCGTCCCTTTTGTCTTCATCTACATTTCCTTTTGTCTTCTCTTCCGTTGTCCCCTTGGTTAACACAAGCCTATCCTGACACCAAATGACTTCGAACAGGCGATAAATGACATGCCCATGCACTCTGCCCCAGGGCCAGAATCGTGGAACTCCGTGTTCATCAAGAACTGCAAGAAGCCCCTATCACGAGCTTTTACCATCCTATGGAGAGGGAGCATGGACACGGGGGTCGTCCCACAGTTACTAAAAACAACAGACATAGCCCCACTCCACAAAGGGGGCAGTAAAGCAACAGCAAAGAACTACAGACCGATAGCACTAACATCCCATATCATAAAAATCTTTGAAAGGGTCCTAAGAAGCAAGATCACCACCCATCTAGAAACCCATCAATACACAACCCAGGGCAACATGGGTTTAGAACAGGTCGCTCCTGTCTGTCTCAACTATTGGATCGCTACGACAAGGTCCTAAATGCACTAGAAGACAAAAAGAATGCAGATGTAATATATATACAGACTTTGCAAAAGCCTTCGACAAGTGTGACCATGGCGTAATAGCGCACAAAATGCGTGCTAAAGGAATAACGGGAAAAGTCGGTCGATGGATCTATAATTTCCTCGCTAACAGAACAGAGTAGTCATCAACAGAGTAAAGTCCGAGGCAGCTACGGTGAAAAGCTCTGTTCCACAAGGCACAGTACTTGCTCCTATCTTGTTCCTCATCCTCATATCTGACATAGACAAGGATGTCAGCCACAGCACCGTGTCTTCCTTTGCAGATGACACCCGAATCTGCATGAGTGTCTTCCATTGCAGACACTGCAAGGCTCCAGGTGGACATCAACCAAATCTTTCAGTGGGCTGCAGAAAACAATATGAAGTTTAACGATGAGAAATTTTAATTACTCGGATATGGCAAACACGAGGAAATTAAATCGTCATCAGAGTACAAAACAAATTCTGGCCACAAAATAGAGCGAAACACCAACGTCAAAGACCTGGGAGTGATCATGTCGGAGGATCTCACCTTCAAAGACCATAACATTGTATCAATCGCATCTGCTAGAAAAATGACAGGATGGATAATGAGAACCTTCAAAACTAGGGATGCCAAGCCCATGATGACACTCTTCAGGTCACTTGTGCTATCTAGGCTGGAATATTGCTGCACACTAAAAGCACCTTTCAAGGCAGGTGAAATTGCTGACCTAGAAAATGTACAGAGAACCTTCACGGCACGCATAACGGAGATAAAACACCTCAATTACTGGGAGCGCTTGAGGTTCCTGAACCTGTATCCCTGGAACGCAGGCGGGAGAGATACACGATTATATACACTTGGAAAATCCTAGAGGGACTAGTACCGAACTTGCACATGAAAATCACTCGCTACGAAAGCAAAAGACTTGGCAGACGATGCAACATCCCCTCAATGAAAAGCAGGGGTGTCACTAGCACGTTAAGAGACCATACAATAAGTGTCAGGGGCCCAAGACTGTTCAACTGCCTCCCAGCATACATAAGGGGGATTACCAACAGACCCCTGGCAGTCTTCAAGCTGGCACTGGACAAGCACCTAAAGTCAGTTCCTGACCAGCCGGGCTGTGGCTCGTACGTTGGTTTGCGTGCAGCCAGCAGTAACAGCTCTGATCCACCAGGAGGCCTGGTCACAGACCGGGCCGCGGGGGCGTTGACCCCTGGAACTCTCTCCAGGTAAACTCCAGGTAAATACGTTCATCTTCGCCACTACCATGCGCGAAAACCCACATACCTACAGTTGCTTCTCGCAATTTTTTCTTAATCACTTCCGGTATCGTTCTCATGCTGTCACAGTATACGCTGATGGTTCTAAATCCTCTGACAGTATCAGGTTCGCAGCGGTTTCCCGACAGCGTAGTGCGAGGGCACTTATTAGATTTGGCTAGCATTTTTACAGGTGAATTGTATGCAATTCTCGTAGCAATTATCCGTATTGCATCTATGCCTATCACTATTTGTGGTGATCTCAGACACTTAGTGCTTTCCAAGCTATAAAACAATGATTCGCCTCATTTTCTGGTTCTTATACAACTTTGGTTATGCTGCATCTCTAGTAAAAATCAATATTATTTTCTGTTGGATCCCCGGTCATGTTGACGTACATGGGCAATGAACAGAGGGAGTCTCCTGTGCGGTCAGCAGTACTTGACCTCCCAGATTCATATAGAGGTGTTCCATTCACAGACTATTTTGCTGTAATTTCTTACCACCCATAACCGTTTGCAACAGTTTTGGCCTGATAATATACATAAATTACATTCTATTAAACCAAGTTTAGGTTTCCTGACATCAATGCCAAGGTTAGGAGACTGCTCTTTCCTGTCTTTATATCAGACATGCTAGTCTTACTCAAGGCGCCTCATGGAGAGGCGCCTTGTTCCACTGTGAGAATTGTCAGGTTCCAGTTTCGGTTCGCTATATTCTGTTGGACTGTCCAGTCTATCTACGAGCACACAGAATTTACCTCCAACGTCGTCACCGCTCTTACTTCATCTTAACTCCTTCCTGACGGATCCACCTTTGACTCACTCCCTCACTGACTTTTTGACAGCAACTGATTTACTACACAAAGTTTGATGATCCTTTCTCTAGAACTCCTCACAGCCCTTTCTAACTCTCCCTCTGTTGTCCACCCCGCCCTTGCTACTTTATAATTCTACACTATACCCTGCCCTGCTGCGCTGTATGACCCTTGTAGGTTTATCGTTTCTCTTTGATTATAATAATCGCCTAACACCCTTATCCTCCCTCCTCACTGATGGCCCCATCTCTCTCCCTCTTGACTTTGACAATAACATATTACACGAACTTTAATTATACTTAGCACTTCACTCTGCTCATATTAGCTCGACCTCTGTTATACTCTCCACCCTTGCTAGTCTTTGATCAAGCATATTAAAACTTTAGTATGCCCTACCCTGCAGCGCTGTATGACCCTTGTGGGTTTAGCGCTTAGTTATGGTTATAATACCTTATTATTGTTTTTATATATTAGCCATCCCATAGTGGCACAAATCTATATTTTCTTTAGAATTTTAAGATTTATCATTTTTTCATGATTAATTATATTTTATTTTTAAATTTGACTATCACTAACTTTTCTCGTTTTCCCTTCGACAGATATGTTCGTTCCAGCTACCTGTCTGGGTCACAGAGTTTTGATTCTGTTTAAAATCTACAATAAGGGAGGCTTATAGTCCGGCATAATATTGTGGTAAGGAAACTGTTGCTAAGTCTCTGTAGTGCCCACTAAGTAACCAGGTTGGTCAAACTGCTAGTTTAAAAGTCTAGAACTTTAAAAATTAAGTCTTCATGCTAAGTGCAATGTAAAGTATTAGGGTTGACTGAACTACAGAAACTCATCAAAACATTCAGTGAATGAACTGGAAATGACTGTTCATATAGTTAGCAGTTCCACTTTGTAAATGTTTTGATTAACTTGCCTCATTAAAGCTCAAGTTCTACAAATTTAAAGAATTTAGTTATTCCATTGTGACTAACCTTCAAAAAATTCCGAACTGCTGTCGTTCATCTGCAATAAATAAAATAATGCGCTTAGAACTGCTCAACAATGTAACATAGGTTTCTGTATAGAATGCTGTTTTTTAAGATAAATTAAAAACTTAATTCACAAAGTAACATGTCATGTATATAAATCATTGTCTATCCATTTTTAGAATTTGTTGTGCCCGCACACACTGGTGTGTTCTATGGTATTTATATAATCATTTTAATTTAACCTGTTTTATCCTGTGTATTGGGTAAAATAAGAATAGGATAAACTGCCTATATAAATCATGATATCACCAAGTATGTTACTGAGATGTGATTTTAATATTGTGTATATGTATGAATTCTCAGATCTGCTGTTGAGGTCTTTAACTATGAAGGCAGAACAAAAATTTGCCTCATTGTAAATGTGTAATTTAGTGCATTAAAAATTTATCTTTGAAATGTGTTCTCACTTCAGTGGCCCAAGTAATGGAATGGAAAATGCGGTCTACAATTGTTGAAGGCTGAAGTCATTTAATACTTTGGAAATTTAAGGTGCATTCTGCTGCATAATTAAAAGTTTTATGCAAGTTTCTGCCGGACTATGGTTTTTTTTTCTGCTTCCCTTGTCCCTCTTTCATCTTCATGACATATTTATAGAAAATGTGGATTTAAATGTAGAGGTCATTTACTGGAACTGTATTTAGTTCCAATAAATTTCTTATCAATTGTAAAAGACCAAATCGTAAACTTTTCTGTACCTTTTTTAATTAAATTGTTATATTTATAAAAGTAGTTTTACTTGGTCTAAATTTAAGGTTTTTGTGTAACTAATTTTTTATGGGGGGAAAACTTAACTGATGCTCCTGTGTTTCGTAAACTCTATTTTAATTGTCTAGATGTTGAGCCTAACACTGGTTCTGTGGCTTATTAGTCTACACACTTCCTTATTTTACTGTCTATTGTAAACCGTTTTATCTTTTATCTATAAGTTCACTTTTCTTTTTAGTATAAACCTCTTCAAGGGGGGCTCCTTGGCGTGGTGAAGAGGCTCTTGGTCTGAGGAATTAGACCTGTTGGTCTCCTTCCTTAGACCGAACCTAATTGCCCCCCAATCCCCCTTTCCCTATCCCATCCTCCCCTTTTCCCTTTCCTCCTCCTCCCCACCCCTCCCTTTTGCCCTTTCTCTTTTTGGCCTTTGGGATTTTTCCCACAGGTGCGCTAGTTCCTAGGTAGGGGAAAGGATACCGGGGTCCATCCCATTCCGTTGAGGTTCTTGGCGGTGGCGTAGTTTGCCGTGGAATCTGGATCGCCTGGGGATGTCCCGATCCCTCTCCAGTATCCCGGAGAGTGGCTTTGGGTGTTTTTCGGGCAATGGGTGTATCTCTGGAAGCCACCTTTCAGATTCCGGGGGTGGTGGCCGAAGGAGGTATGCTTTGTGGCGGATATCCGGCCGCCCTCTTTTGTCCACCAAGGTAGCTCGGCAGATGTGAGGTTGCTATCCCAGATTGCTGGTTTACTGGCATGAAGGATAGGGTATGACACGGGTTCCATGCTGCATCTGCGCTACTAGCAGTGCTGAGGTCCTCTTGGGCGCGGAGGGAGATTTCCGGCCCTTTCATTCCTCCTGGGAACTATTCCTCACCGCTCCCCCCCCCTTTTTTTTTTCTCTCTCTCAAAAACAAAAAGCAAAGGAGTAACCTAACCATGGAGAACCCAGTCCATGAACCCACTACCCCCAGGCCCCTTCTTGATAGCGCACCCCATTCTGACCCTGCTTTGTTTTTTGACCACTCTTCGGACACTCCTGATGCCCCTGTACCTCTTGCTGGCGCTGCTTCCTCACCCGCTTCAGGTACCGGGGCTTCAACTGACTCCTTCAATTTGTCTGACCTCCGCTCTCCTTTGACTGTGCTTCCAGCCTCTCCCTCTACGGTACGGCAATTTTCGAATCGCATGCCCGTTTCACGATAGACCAACTCTGGTCCTACTCCTAAACACCAACGACAATCTCCTGATGATGTTCCTTTGTTACCTTCCCATTCTACTCGGAAAAGACCAACACGTCATGCACTCCCTCTCCATGCTCGGTTTCGGACTACACAATGGACTAAATTCTTTACTTTAAGACCAGCTTCTTCTTCTGCCTATCTTTCTGACCATAGTATTGGCAAAGCACTCCTGCGCCATGTTGGTAGATATATTTCATTTCATGCTCTCAAGAGCGGTACGCACATCGTCACTGTCCAGAATGCTAATCAAGCTCATGATCTTTCTCTCCTTTTGCATATTAATACTACTACTATCACTATTGAAAAACATCTCTCAATTCTTGTAGTGGTACTGTCATTCTGCCCCAGACCATAGTCCAACAGAATTTCCAGTCATGTGGCAATGACATTCTTGAACAACTGTAACTCCAGGATCTCCCAATCCTCAAGGTAGACACTTATGTCCTTCCTGCCCACGGGCAGAGACGTTACCTTTGCAATGTGGCTCGATTAACTTTCGACAGCCGTGAACTCCCGTCCTCTGTTTACGTCGCGGACATCGGTTACAAGTTCAAAAGGTGATCCCTTCACCGCAACAGTGTAGAAATTGCTGGTGTTTTGGTTACCCAGCAAAATATTGCAGATCTATAGCCGAATGCCCAGTCTGGTGCCGACGACCATTCTAATACATCTTGCAGTCAACCTCCATCTTGCCTTAATTGTAATGAGGCTCGCCCTTCGTACTCTCACAGTTGCCAGGTCTACTTAAATGAGCGTGAAATCCATTGCCTCAGAGGCAGAAGGTCTCCCTTATGCTATGGCAGGTGCTTGTCTCCGCCTCCAAGGGAGACTACCCCGTGTTTCTTATTCTCGTGTTTCTTCTGGGGTCCCATCTTCAGCAGCCTCCTCTGTTGTTACCCCTCCCATAGCCACTCCGGCATCTAATCCTTTTGCTGTCCTTGGCTCTGACATCCCGACTACAACTCAGTCTGTTCTCACATCTTTGCGTCCTTCCTCACAAGCCCAGGTATCGACAAGATCTCATACGACACCTTATACCAATCACCCCTCTACTTCTCAGAAGTCCAAAAAAAATCCCCATTGCTCAAATCTTCTTTGCCCCTTCCTTCCCTTCTTCCAATTCTGCATTTTATCTTTCCAGTCTCTGTACCTAGTTCTACCCCTCTCTCTGGCTCTATTACAAGTGTGGAGGTTCACCCTCCTCCTCGTACTATGCCTTCCACCATCGTCCCCTCCCAAGTTTCTCCCTCTTCTGCCACCTCCCAGATTTCTGCCTCTTCTGTCCCCTCCCACACTTCTCCAGTCCCCTACACTCTTTCGTCCCCCTTTACTTTGGTACAGTCCATTACTCTCCCAATTTTTACTCACCCTCTTCCTTCTACCTCCAATATTGTCTCCCATACATATTTGAATTCAGAAACACTTGAAGCCATTTCAGAATATATTGCAGAGACTAAACCTTCAATGGACACTGATCCACCACCTGTTCCTTCTCTTCCCTCTCCTCCATCTCCACAACTCCATTCTTCTGAATGCTCCATTCCTTCGCTGCTTGAACGTCTTCCAATGCCACCACACGTTGACTTTTCTCACCCCTCTAGTCTGTAGGTGCCCTTCCCTACGGATTCCTGGTATTTTCTTCATTGTCAATCATGGCCTATTTACAGTGGAATATCCGTGGCCTCAGAGGTAATCGGGGTGAGCTTCAGATGTTGCTTTCCAGGTTTTCCCCTGTTGGTGCTTGCTTACAAGAACCAAAATTACACTCAGCTGTTTTCCAACCTATCTCAGGCTATAATTTATTGTATTCTTCGGATCCTTTCTCAAATTTGACCTTTAATGAAAGTGCCCTTTTTCTACGCAATGATATTCCGTACTGTCAACTATTTGTCCATACCTCGCTGCATTACACTGCAGCCCGTATCCACTTGAATAAGTGGTTTACAATATGTTCTTTATCTCTCTCCTTCTCGAGCATTTTCTATCCCAGATTTTGCCTTTCTCGTTTCATCCTTACCACCACCACCACTTCTGTTACTTGGTGATTTTAACACCCACCATTTCCTCTGAGGGAGGGGTCTCATTGTGACTCACGTGGCATCCAGTTGGAGGCTTTTCTCGCCTCTCACCCCCTCCATGTTTTAAATACGGGTACTCCCACCCATTTTGATCCTCGTACTCTCTCTCGCATCAATCTATCAGTCTGCTCTTCCGCCACTGCACTAGACTTCACCTGGTCTGTTCTACCAGACTTGCATGACAGTGATCATTTTCCAATCATTCTTACTTCTTCATATTCGCCACCTTTCCGTAGCCCTCGCTTGTAATTTGATCGGGCAAATTGGGACCTTTACTCGCAACTCACTGCTTTTAGTGAGGTTCCTTCTTCATCCTCCATTGATGAGCTCTTACACCTCTTCTCAACGTGAGTTTATACCGCAGCTTCTCATTCTATACCCCAAACCTCAGGCAGGCATTCTCAGAAGTGCGTGCCTTGGTGGGTAGGCACCGGTACAATAGAACCGATGAGAGACTTCTTGATTTTAAGCAGAAGCGTGCGATCGCTCGCCGTGTCATCCGTGAGGCTAAATGCACTTGCTGGCGAGACTGTTTCCACCATCACCTCTGCTTCCTCTATGAGGGCAGTCTGGAAAAAAAAGTGAGGAAATTGAGTGGTAAATACTCTCCTGCCCTAGCTCCTGTTCTACGGATCGACGGTATTGATGTAGCAAACCCTCTTGACGTTGCCATTGAAATTGGCACTCGTCAGATCCGTATTTCCTGGGGGCTCCGTCTATGCCCCTCGTTTCCTTTCTCAAAGTCTGCCAGAGAGTTAGTACCCTTGGACTTTAATTCTCTCAGAGAAGAACAGTATAATGTGCCTTTAAAACTTCAGGAACTGGAGGCAACACTCTCAGCTTGCCGATCATCGGCAGCTGGACCTGACGACATTCATATTCGTATGTTACAACATTTACATCAGTCAGCCCTTGTGGTCCTCTTACACCTCTTCAATCTTATTTGGACACAAGGAGTTCTTCCCCAGCTGTGGAAATCTGCCATTGTTCTCCCTTTCCGCAAGCCGGGTACTACAGGACGTGATGCCTCCCACTATCATCCCATCGCTCTTACTAGTGCAGTTTGCAAAGTGATGGAACGTCTGGTAAATCGACGTTTAATGTGGTATTTTAGAGACACACAACAGTCTTTCCGCTAGTCAATATGGCTTTCGCAAGGGCCGTTCTACCATAGACCCCTTATTACACTTGGATACGTATGTTCGTAATGCCTTTGCGAATAATTGCTCGGTTATTGCCATATTTTTTGACCTTGAGAAGGCATTTGACACAACTTGGAGGTATAATATTTTGGCCCAAGCCCACTCCTTAGGCCTCCGAGGCAATCTACCATCCTTCCTTAAGAACTTTTTTAACTGACAGACACTTCCGTGTTCGAGTCGATAATGTGCTTTCCCTGGACTTTGTCCAAGCTGAAGGTGTCCCTCAGGGATGTGTTCTGAGCACAACACTTTTTCTCCTTGCTATAAATGATTTGGCCTCTGTTCTTCCACCCAATATTTGGTCATCACT